AGCTTTAGCATAATAAAGAAGCTAGTCTAAAATCTCTAACTTTGGGCGCCTCCTTCATAGGACATCAGTATTATCCATATCCCATTCATTCACGCAGAGCGATACATGACACTGCAGATTCCCATCTCTAAGTTCTCTCAGATGACCAAGTTTACGCATGTTTAAGCTTAAATATCACATGTCTATTCTCGGCACCACAATAGTTACATAAGCCAGCCGTGTTTACCTCTGCAGCAGTATGTCACAGGCCATTCTCATGTTTGCTTTTGGGCTTTTCCAAATCTTTAAAGTCTCTGCGGCTTCATACGTGTCCAGCGATGACAAAAATCCAGGAAAAATACGTCTTAAACGACTTTTATAACTGCGGCACAGTCTCTCGCTTCCATCCGAGGATTCTACCGTTATACCACAGCGTTGGAGACCTTTGAATGCATTCCGGTAGTGGCTGAGGCCGTGTGTGTGTGCGTCTTTGTGTGTGCGTCTGGGTGGAAGCACGGATGGAAGTGCTGCAGTAAACAACAGCTCTGCCTGAATATAAAGGCTGCGGAGGTGAGACTGGGACGTCCAATGGGAGACGAGGGACAGGAGTGAGAGACCAATGAGGAGAGCGAAAGGTTATGTCAGAGAGAGAGAGGGAAGGAGAGAGAGAGGGAGAGAAAGAGAGGGAGAGAGGGACAGGGAGAAAGGGGGGGAGAGAGAGAGAAGGAGAGAGGGGGAGAGAAAGATAGGAAGAGAAAGAGAGGGGGAGAGAAAGATAGGAAGAGAAAGAGGGGGAGAGAGAGAGAGACAGAGAGCGCGAGAGCGGGGCCGAGAGAGAGAAGGGGGGGGGGGGGGGGGGGAAGCAGAGGGAGAGAGAGCGGGGAGATGCCTATATTGACTTACAGATGTGATAACTTGGACCTGGCACAATGCGTGGCCACTTAAGTCAACTTGGCAATAAGCAATACAGTCAAATACACTTGTTTTTAAAGCTGGGGTATGTAACTTTCAAACCACATGACTATAGTATGTAATCATAGACATGTAACCTCAAAATAGTTTGCTTCCGTCAGTGGGTTTCACATGTTTCTATGGACTCAGTCACAAATTCAGGTTTACCAGACAGAAAAGTGACCAAGAGAAAGGACCAGCCTCGCTCAGCCAATCAGATCTCAGTCCAAAGAGTCAGAGAGTGACTCCCAGGGCTCTTCAATACAAACATATTTGTGGCAAAACAAAAGGCAAAGAAGCCAAAAAACAAGGAATATTCCTATAACAGGGGAAAATGCTGAAACAAAACAATGTGTGTGTGTGTGTGTGTGTGTGTACGTGTGAGCGCATGTGTGTGTCCTTGTGTATTGTGTATGTGCCCGTGTGCATCCCATCCGCGTCCGAATGTGTGTCTGTGTGTGACCATGTGATGCGCTATGAGGTTGGATCTAAATAAGTGTCCGCTTCGTCCGACCCCTTTTCAAACTGAATTTGTTTAATTTCTCTCCTCTTTGTTTCATTTATGTATAAAAACACACATGTTTTAAATTAATAAACTTCTACAACGACACAACAGACCCAGTGAAAACATATCGTGAAAATAAATCTGGACAATAACCTGCAACATTTAACAAAGTCGTGGCAGCGACAGAATATTGGTGGAGCCTCAGAACCAGGTCAAAGTAACCACGCCTGTAGCCGCCGCCGCTGACCTACATTCTGTCCTCTATACGCAGAGAAACACACGATACACCTGTCCCACCAAGAACGCGTCAATCAAAGACACGTCGAGTTATGCAACGTTTTTCAGCCTCAGATTGTAAACACTTCAGGAGTCAATGTCAAACAGAAGTGAAGAACGGAGACGGATTCAAAAAGCAGGAGATTCAAACTGCAAAAGGCATTTAATGTTCGGAAACTGAAATATAGCTAGGAACTGTGTGAATGTAGCGTGGTCTTACCACACCACAGTACGCACTTCATTTGGTACTAAGGTCTCGTGGATTTGCCTCATTGACTCCGTTAACAGGTGGGAGGGGTTCACTCCTTTTGGATCTGAGTTTACTGTGACATGTGTAATGAGCCCGAGTGAGTGAGGCATTTAATATTTAGCCTAGCTTTAGCATTTATCCTAGCTTTAGCCATCTCCTTTGCCACTAACGGAGCCAATGGGCAGTAGAGCCACAACATCTTTGCAGTAATGACATTTACTAAACATTCTTCTTTCTCTTAAATTTCTTGATTTGGTTTGAACCAGAACCGATTATTATACTATAACATTCTCTGACAAACTACAACCAGCAAACTCTTGACGTCACAACACTTAAGTCAATTGTTTAAAAGACATTTGTCTAAGCACAGGAGGAAAGAGGGACCCGACCCCTTGATTGAAACTCATTTGGATATTCACATGTGAGCCATCAGTTTTACAGCTCAGTCCTGGTGACGTCACAGTGGGACGCTTCTTTCTCACAGAGCGGACATTAATAGTTCCTAATTGGACGTTAAAGTCGTTCAGTTAGAAATTGCTTCGACTGAAAGCATCTGACTAAAAAAACAATTATACAGCCTCAGTCCTGGATCCACGGCCTCAGTCCTGGGTCCACGGCCTCAGTCCTGGGTCCACGGCCTCATTACTTGTATTTGTTGTATTTGTTCTTTTTATAGCGGTACTTTTAATCTTTTTCACCCCAAACGTATTTAATCAAAGTTGGAGCCAATTTCCTTATATGCAGACGTGTTGGTAAGACAAGGTGTAGGTTTACCCCCTCAAATGAAGGCCTCTGATTGGTCAATCCTTAAATGGCTTCACAAAGACAATATCACAAAATAAACCAGGTTCACAGAGAGCAGGATACCAGGGCTGTTTAAGCCAGAGATGGTGAGAGTGACACAAACAGACGCTGAGCTATGAGTTTACATGTGGTCAATAGAAGGAAATTGGAGTCAAACTTAATCAATGAGCACTTCCCTTCTGGGTTTCATTAAGCTAGCATGTTAGCATTGTCCATCTGTATACTGTCAAATAAACAGTTCTGGGATGGAGGGGTTGAGTCATGACGAGCCGTGATGAGCCACGATAGAGACCGGTCTGCAGCAGAGGTATTTATAGATGTGAAATTAGAAGCGGGGCTAGTGCAGTCTGAGACTGGGGCCAAAGGGACACATTGAACTGTCAATCAAACCACAGACAAACAACTGCCCCAAGTCACATCCAGTCACAGCCGCTTCACTTCAGCGTCGAGTCCAAAATGACACGTATAAGAAGATATTGATATTATTTAATGGCCCTTATTCATTTCTGTTCAATTCACTTTTCGGGTCTACGGCCGGCCTCAGTCCCCGGGTCTACAGCCTCAGTCCTGGATCAGGTTTCTCACTTTTCCCACTGGGTTTTGGATCGGTTCCACAGGGTCTAAGGACAATGATGAACCGGGACATTGTCTTTTATGCGTTTATCAACATTGCACTTCCTGTGTTTGAACCGTCTGATTCTCTGATCTGCTGTTGGCGAATCCACAACTTTGTAAAGCCCCTCAGAGACAACTGCTGCTGTGATCTAGCGCTATACAACAATAAATCGTACTGGGTTCGGCGGCGCACGAGTCTGGGTCATGCTGTGCCCCAGTGGCCTTTAAGATGATTACGGGCTTATCCTTAATCCGCCTCTCATATATTCAGTCGTGTCCCCGCCGTGCCGCACCGCTAACGGCTAACATTCTGGAAGGCTCTTTTGGAATGTGCCAGCCGCAACATTCTACGTAGTCGTAACACGGATTAGCAAATTACAGTTTTGTTTGAAGGGGACGCATTATGCAAAATAGACTTTCGATAGCGTGCGGTCGTGTTGTAATGGCTTTTCCCAGTGACATGAATGAGCGCAGGCATTGGGTAATATTAGATCCCTGCGTTCAAGAGGCCATTGCTCTGATGATCCCATGTCACCGTCGAATTAATGCATAAACATGGAGTGATTGATGCTGTCACAAAAAAACGTTTTGATGAGGGCAAAGAACTTCTGAGAATCAGAGCAGAGAAAGAGCAGAGAGGAGAGGGAGAGCAGAGAGAGCAGAGAGAGAGCAGAGGGAGAGCAGAGAGAGCAGAGGGAGAGCAGAGAGAGCAGAGAGAGCAGAGGGAGAGCAGAGAGAAAGCAGAGAGAGCAGAGGGAGAGCAGAGGTAGAGAGAGAAAGCAGAGAGAGCAGAGGGAGAGCAGAGAGAGCAGAGGGAGAGCAGAGAGAGCAGAGAGAGAGCAGAGAGAGAACAGAGAGGGAGCAGAGAGAACAGAGAGGGAGCAGAGAGAACAGAGAGGGAGCAGAGAGAGCAAAGAGCAGAGAGCAAAGAGAGAGCAGAGAGCAAAGAGAGAGCAGAGAGAGCAAAGAGAGAGCAGAGAGCAAAGAGAGAGCAGAGAGAGCAAAGAGAGAGCAGAGAGCAAAGAGAGAGCAGAGAGAGAACAGAGAGAGCAGAGAGAGCAAAGATAGAGCAGAGAGAGCAAAGATAGAGCAGAGAGAGCAGAGAGAGAGAGCAGAGGTAGAGAGAGAGAGCAGAGAGAGGAGAGAGCAGAAAGATAGAAAAGAGAGAAGAGAGTGAGCAGAGAGACCAGAGGGAGAGCAGAGAGAGAGATCAGAGAGAGAGCAGAGAGACCTCACGCTTCTGAGACACATGAGGCCGACCACAGAGGGTCTTAGAGAACTTTGAGCTAATAAGATCTGTTCGTGCAGAAGACTAAATATATTCTCTGTTCTTGCTGTGGACGTGACGAGCGCCGTGTTTTCATTCATTCAACCGAGAAAGTTCTGTTCTGCTTCTGTTCATCATGAGCAGACCATGATTTTTGTAATGTCTTTGAATAAAAAGAGGGTTAGGGTGAATCACGATCTATCACAGAGTTGAATCACAACACCAGCTGTATTGCGATATGTTAAGAATCGCAATAATATTCAATTGTACCCCAAATATGGCAATACTATGAAATCATAACATTTCCCGCCCGTAGTAGTCGCCCTGCACACAGAGAGCTGCAGCGTCAGTACCTGGAGTCGCTCTGGTGGGTTTGTGGTGATTGTGGTGATTGGGAGGAGCCCTCGTCTCCGTCCTGCGGCAGGTCTTCACATTCAGCTTCACACTTGTCGTCGTCCAGAAGCTCCGTGATCTGAACACACAGAAAGGTCAGGTTCAGTTTTAGTTTATTTGTCGTTTGCAGTAAAACCACTCTGAAATACATGAGCAAGAGTCCCCAGTTTGCACCACAACAAGCTAAAAAGTAGAAAGAAACAGTTGTCGCTGTGAAATCAATACAAGATCATTCAAGACTGATAATAATAGCTGAAATGAGCTGTTAGCATGTTAGCATATCCAGATGTCCTGCAACTCAGCCAATGATATCTTCTGTCAGAGGGAAGAAGCTGGAACATAGCTTTTCCAGAAGCCAGAAGAGTCATTGACTATTTGAAGAGCTCTGTCAAAACCCTCACAATTAGAGTTAAATGAAGTTGTATAAAATATATATTTTTTTTACAGAATATTTATTTCTGACCAGGAAAGACTGTTCCAGTGTTAATTTCTAACACTGGTACAGCCTCGGCCCTGGGTCTACAGCCTCGGCCCTGGGTCTACAGCCTCGGCCCTGGGTCTACAGCCTCGGCCCTGGGTCTACAGCCTCGGCCCTGGGTCTACAGCCTCGCTCAATTCATTCAATTCATTCTTCCATTGCCTTAAATCACAACTTGAACAAATAGTCAATTCGCCAACACAGATCAGAGAATCAAACAATGCAATAATAACAAACACATAGAGCCATTGGTCCATAAGGGGCGGGAGACCAAGGTCCATACATGTTAATAAATGTCCGTACATGTCCTGGATCATCACCACTGTCCTTTGACCCTGCTGCATACACACTCTACCATCTCTCTTTTTAACATTCTCTCTCTCCTGAAAACACAAAAATGCAACCACAGTGAGTTCACGTCTGGGTCTGGAAATCTGAAAATCTCCTCTCCCCGTCCTGGACACATGATAGAAGCTCCATAATCCGGTTTGTTCTGAGATTCTCCTAAATATAGCGTTGATAAAAGAGCAGAACAATGGCGGTTCAAGGGATGGAGCCGGACGGACGGCGCAGAGTTGATGTTCCACGAGGAGCGATAATCGAGTTACCAAATTATGTAACGGAGGAATGTCGCACCTACAAGACGTGACCTTTGGAAAACTCCACCACAGCTTTCAAGGAGTCACTCTCACTCAGCAGAAACACGAGAAGAAGAAGTACGCATTATTTCTGGCTGTTAATTATGTTGACAGGACTGTTTTCTTATTAGTTTCACGTTTTAGAAAGTGAGATAATAGTATAAAACATGGGGAGACAAGTATGAAGGGAAAAGTCCTTGGGTCTACGGCCTCGGCCCTGGGTCTACGGCCTCGGCCCTGGGTCTACGCCCTGGGTCTCGGCCCTGGGTCTACGGCCTCGGCCCTGGGTCTACGGCCTCGGCCCTGGGTCTACGGCCTCGGCCCTGGGTCTACGCCCTGGGTCTCGGCCCTGGGTCTACGGCCTCGGCCCTGGGTCTACGGCCTCGGCCCTGGGTCTACGGCCTCGGCCCTGGGTCTACGGCCTCGGCCCTGGGTCTACGGCCTCGGCCCTGGGTCTACGGCCTCAGTCCTGGATTCTCTCTGATATGTATTAACATTTCATCCTGCTCCCTATGGACCACTGGCTCCTATGTGTTTGTCATTACTGCATTTCCAATCTCCAAACTCTCTGATTCTCTAATCTGTTGACTGTAAAATCTACGCCCCATCCCGCAGGAGCAGTGGAATCAAAGGGAGACGGTGATCCTCATCTAAACTCTCCGCTCCCTGCATCAGTTTCCTCGTCCGTCTTGCAGCTACATCAACACACTGCTGCTGCGTCTCTATGGCAACACCTCAACCCCACGCGCTCTCCGATTGGCCGCGCAGACTTAGCTCCGCCCAGAGCGCGATCCGACAGGGATGAGTCACAAGATGCATCTGGGCTTTATAACTGGACGGAGACGTTGGAGGCTTTTGGGCAAACATTCCCACACAGACGTTTCAGCTCGTCACTTTCCAGCTTGTTTTAGTTTATGTATTTATGTAAAAACTTAGAGGGTTAGTGCAAACATGTATCCTAGAATATTTAGGATACATGAATGAAGAGCTCCCAACACATGACTTTATTCAAACACAACAGACTACAGTCTTAAAAAACACATCTCTAATGACTTGTTTAGCTTTCCATCCATCCATCCATCCATTTTCTACCCTTTAATCCATTTCTGGGTCAGGGGGGTGGCAATCAGAGATGCCACCCAAGTCTCATAGCACCAGCCCCTCACTGACCCTCTGCAGGTGGTGAGTCCACAGGAGGACAGCTACTCTCTGAGTGTGAGCATAGCCTTGATCTTTCAGTGGGGGCTTTGGGCAAAGTGGGGTTAAGTGTCTTGCCCAAGGACACAACGACAGCAGTCATCAGTGGGAGTCGGTGGAGAAGGTGCAGAGGTGGGAATTGAACCCACGACCTTCTGGGCTTAAGGCCAATGCTCTACCAACTGAGCTACTGGTTTAAAACTGGACAGAGACATTGGAGGCGTTCAGAAGGAGAGCAGAAGAATCACAGAGGGAGACGACACATCCGTTAGCTCTCCAATGTAAAGCTTTGTTTTCGTTTATATCCGACTGACTTCAGAATGTACTTTTCAACTGATACTACTACTGCTAATGTTACTGCTAGTTCTACTACTGCTAATGTTACTGCTAATGCTACTACTGCTAATGCTCCTACTGCTACTACTACTGCTAATGTTACTGCTAATGCTCCTACTGCTACTACTACTGCTAATGTTACTGCTAATGCTACTACTGCTACTACTACTGCTAATGTTACTGCTAATGCTACTACTGCTAATGCTATTGTGAGATTTCATAACACTTTTAAGCAACTTTTGTTAAAGTTAAACTCATCATTCTATCAATGTGCAGAAGCCTGTACTTTTCCACTACTTGTTTTGACTATCTCTGCTGACACTGTGGCAGCTGCTGATTGGAGGACTTCATTCTCCCATGCTATATTATCACTAACAGTTTGTGACATCCTTACTACTGCTACTGTAATAGCAGTAGCATTAGCATAAGGAGTAAGTAAGCCGTAAGTGATCGTTACTTGCGGACCAGAGTCACAAAACACTTTACAATAGTTGTGGGCGTTTGTCTCTCACTCCAGAGATGGGAGTCACATGCCAGACCTATTGTACATATTTTTAGTGGTCGAGGAACCTGGAGCAACTGGAGGAAACCTACAAAGACTCAGGGAGAACATGCAAACTCCACACAGAAAAGCATGGAGGTTGAATCAAACCCTTTCTGTGAAGAACAAACGCTAGCCACCAATCACCAAACAGTGACAAGGCTTTAGATTGACCAATAGCATTATTAAATTCATACTGATTTCAACCCAATTCTAGCTCCATTATTTGAGACATAACCTGTGGGAAAATGGCTTACAAGCTAAACAACAGTTAATAACTGGGAAAACAGAAGGGAATGTCACTTATGGGGAGAGTTTGAAGCCTGTGTAATAGTTTAGACCCAATATTAACAGACATTGATCACATAACCCCTGAGTATTTATTCCCAGCGATGGTGTTGATTCTTCACGTGTGGGTGGGGACTCTCCGGTATGTTAGCGCCGGTTCACGGACACGCACACCGCTCGCCCGGAACATTAGGCGGAGTAAAAATATCAACGGCCTAGTTCAGAATGTACTTTTCAACAGCTCTCTGACTGATGTGGGAGTGCGGCCTCAGATACCTGCCCACGTGTTCTATATACTCAGACTGGACTCTATCTGACAGGGAAACTGAGGAACCAACAGGACTAACAAGAGCTTCAACTTCAGGACTTTATTATCAACTGTAACTTCAAAAACAAATACATATGTGTCTAGGTTTATTATATCACTTTGAAATCAATGTGTAGCTTTCCATTTGGAATGATGGCTTGTTTTAGTTCGAAAAGTATTTTAAAAACACAAGTACTGGAAAAGTATTTGGAGGTAAGAGTGATGGCTTCAACACAGAGGGAGTAGATGGGGGAGAGGTGTATGACCGGAGTGTGTTTGGGCCTGTGTCTCGCCTGTGCGTGCGGAGGAGCCTAATAGCTGCCAAGTTGTTAAAACTGCTACTACTTCTACTGCCACCACTTGCTAATGCTACTGCCATTAAAGCTAATGCTACTGCTGCTAAAGCTACTGCTACTGCTGCTACTACTACTACTACTACTAATGCTACTACTACTACTACTAATGCTACTGCTGCTACTACTAATGCTACTGCTGCTGCTACTAATGCTACTGCTGCTACTACTACTACTGCTGCTACTACTGCTGCTGCTGCTGCTACTACTAATGCTACTGCTGCTACTACTACTACTGCTGCTGCTACTACTAATGCTACTGCTGCAACTACTAATGCTACTGCTGCAACTACTAATGCTACTGCTGCTACTACTGCTGCTGCTACTACTAATGCTACTGCTGCTACTACTAATGCTACTGCTGCAACTACTAATGCTGCTGCTGCTACTACTACTGCTGCTGCTGCTACTACTAATGCTACTGCTGCTACTACTACTACTGCTGCTGCTACTACTAATGCTACTGCTGCTACTACTACTAATGCTACTGCTGCTACTACTACTACTGCTGCTGCTACTACTAATGCTACTGCTGCTACTACTAATGCTACTGCTGCAACTACTAATGCTACTGCTACAACTACTAATGCTACTGCTGCTACTACTGCTGCTGCTACTACTAATGCTACTGCTGCTACTACTAATGCTACTGCTGCTACTACTAATGCTGCTACTACTGCTGCTACTACTAATGCTACTGCTGCAACTACTAATGCTACTGCTGCAACTACTAATGCTACTGCTACAACTACTAATGCTACTGCTGCTACTACTGCTGCTGCTACTACTAATGCTACTGCTGCTACTACTAATGCTACTGCTGCTACTACTAATGCTGCTACTACTGCTGCAACTACTAATGCTACTGCTGCTACTACTGCTGCTGCTACTACTGCTGCAACTACTAATGCTACTGCTGCTACTACTAATGCTACAACTACTAATGCTGCTGCTGCTACTACTACTACTGCTGCTGCTACTACTAATGCTACTGCTGCTACTACTAATGCTACTGCTGCTACTACTAATGCTACTGCTGCTACTACTAATGCTGCTACTACTAATGCTACTGCTGCTACTACTAATGCTACTGCTACTACTACTGCTGCTGCTGCTACTACTAATGCTGCTACTACTACTACTGCTGCTACTGCTACTGCCATCAATATTACTACTGCTATTGTTACTACGACTACTACTACAACTTCTACTACTGCTAATGCTACTGCTACTACAGACACCTTCACTCTTTTTAATGTACTGTGATTATTTGTCTATGAATGGTGCTACATAATTAAACTCTCCTTGCCTTGTAGCTCCTTTGAGAGAGCTTGAATAACTTCCAATGACCCATAAACTACAGAGATGTAAAGATTCGGTTTGGTACATTCCAAACTCTTTTATTCCCACACATTTTGATTGATGTCACGTTTGGAATTCTTTGTACGTTTACGTTGATCAAAGCTAAAAAGGCATAACTTTAGTCTGACGTTATGAAGCCGGCAGACGGGTTTGGGGGAGAACTATAAACCTATATGTTTAAATCCAAAAACATACTTTATCTGAAAGTTAAATTAATAATATTTATAGATTTTAGTCTTGATTATTTCACTTTTTTACACGTACACATAACTTCCCAACTAAACAGACACCTCTAAAGTTCCTCACTCTGAAAAACTATCGCTAGTTTTCACATCATGTATTTTTAGCCTCTGTCTTTGGATCAGCTGAATAAGAGAGGACCAAGAGCTCGGCCAATCAGCTGTCAGCCCAAAGAGTCAATGAGAGACTCACAGGGCTCTAGATATGTTTTCCAGTGTGTGTATTGTCAAACATGTGTGTGTGTGTGTATTGTCAAACATGTGTGTGTGTGTGTATTGTCAAACATGTGTGTGTGTGTGTATTGTCAAACATGTGTGTGTGTGTGTATTGTCAAACATGTGTGTGTGTGTGTGTGTATTGTCAAACATGTGTGTGTGTGTGTGTGTGTATTGTCAAACATGTGTGTGTGTGTGTGTGTATTGTCAAACATGTGTGTGTGTGTGTGTGTATTGTCAAACATGTGTGTGTGTGTGTGTGTATTGTCAAACATGTGTGTGTGTGTGTGTGTATTGTCAAACATGTGTGTGTGTGTGTGTGTATTGTCAAACATGTGTGTGTGTGTGTGTGTATTGTCAAACATGTGTGTGTGTGTGTGTGTATTGTCAAACATGTGTGTGTGTGTGTGTGTATTGTCAAACATGTGTGTGTGTGTGTATTGTCAAACATGTGTGTGTGTGTGTGTGTATTGTCAAACATGTGTGTGTGTGTGTATTGTCAAACGTGTGTGTGTGTATTGTCAAACATGTGTGTGTGTATTGTCAAACATGTGTGTGTGTGTGTATTGTCAAACATGTGTGTGTGTGTATTGTCAAACATGTGTGTGTGTGTGTATTGTCAAACATGTATTGTCAAACATGTGTGTGTGTGTGTATTGTCAAACATGTGTGTGTGTGTGTGTATTGTCAAACATGTGTGTGTGTGTGTATTGTCAAACATGTGTGTGTGTGTGTATTGTCAAATATGTGTGTGTGTGTGTATTGTCAAACATGTGTGTGTGTGTGTGTATTGTCAAACATGTGTGTGTGTGTGTGTATTGTCAAACGTGTGTGTGTGTATTATCAAACGTGTGTGTGTGTATTGTCAAACGTGTGTGTGTGTGTAGTCAAACGTGTGTGTGTGTGTATTGTCAAACATGTGTGTGTGTGTGTATTGTCAAACATGTGTGTGTATTGTCAAACATGTGTGTGTGTATTGTCAAACATGTGTGTGTGTGTGTGTATTGTCAAACATGTGTGTGTGTGTGTGTATTGTCAAACATGTGTGTGTGTGTGTGTATTGTCAAACATGTGTGTGTGTGTATTGTCAAACGTGTGTGTGTGTATTGTCAAACATGTGTGTGTGCGTGTATTGTCAAACATGTGTGTGTGTGTGTGTGTGTGTGTATTGTCAAACATGTGTGTGTGTGTGTGTGTGTATTGTCAAACATGTGTGTGTGTGTGTGTGTATTGTCAAACATGTCTGTGTGTGTGTGTGTATTGTCAAACATGTCTGTGTGTGTGTATTGTCAAACATGTGTGTGTGTGTGTATTGTCAAACATGTGTGTGTTGACTCATGTGAACAGAGACTGGGATTTAACAGGATTACGTGAGGACATGTCATCTGAGGAGGTGATAATCCAGACCAGGCTCACGTTACATCACACTGTCCTGGCCTCCAGAGAATTAGTCAAACCTTTGAAGCTAAGCAGGGCAAGCTCTGGTTAGAACTGTGATGGGAGACCTCTGGGAACACCAGGTGCCACAGTGGGGCGTCTACGGCTTTAAAGTGCCAAACTGTGGTTGTGTCCTTAGGCAAGACACTTCCCCCACATTAGAATGAGTCTGGTGTGTGAAGGGTTGGTGGGGGTGCCTTGCTTCTGTCAGTGTGCCCCAGGGCAGCTGTGGCTACAGTGGTAGTTAATCACCACTGTGTTTGGAGTGGAAGAATAATGACATGTCTTTTCAGTCTTTGAGTCTGTAGTGCTGTATTGCAATCATGGCGTTTTCCTTCACGATCATCATGAAGAACCGTGCTACTTGTTCACACTTGACGGAGCTGGAGTTGGCTGAATGACGTGTACCTGTTCATTGATTGAGCTGTACTCGTTGGTGCTGGAGGCGTCTTCTTCCTCGGAGTCGAACAGCTCTTCCTGATGCTCCAGCAGCTCTGCCAGCACTCTGCTCACGCTCTCCTGCTCCCGGAGCTCCTCTGGGGACAGACTGAGGCACAGACAAGGATCAGAACCATGGACAGCACACACTGATCATGCTAACACGCTAGCTCCATGTAGCCCAATAGGGAGACAAACAAAACAGCTACAAAACGCAAGCCGCAAAAGGACTGTGGACCTGAATGTTCAAAGTAATCTTTATTGTTCCACTGTCTAAACAGACACGAGACAACGAGCAGTGATGCATTTAAGAGCACAGGGATAAGACGATCGAAATGTATGTCGTTGGAGGCAATGACATACATTATGAGCACCTTATTTTATTGTTTTATTTAAACAGGAAAGTCCTAGATGTCAGTGAGGTCAAGAGCTTGTGCTTAATTTGCTGGTTGTAGTTTGTCGGAGATGCAATAGTAAAACAATCTGTTCTGGTTCGGATCCAAATATGAAGAAACTGAAGCTGGAGAAAGAGGTATGTTTAGTAAATGGTTTCAATCTGCAAAAGGGGTTAACCCCTCCCACCTGTTAACGGATTAAATGGAGCAAATTCAGACCTTAGTACCAAATGAAGTTAGTATGATGGTAAGGTAAAACCAGACTAGGAAAGTCCCATTGAGATTAACCTCTTTTTCAAGGGAGTCCGGGACAAGAGGCGGCAAAAGCTACACACAATAACATGTCGATGAGGACTTCTCAAGCTCCTTAACAACAGAAAACACTTTATACAAACTGTTAAAAATCACAACGTTGAAGATGAGATCAACAAGAGAGGAAGTCACAAAGATAGTTTCAATGCAAATATGCTGTAAAGTGCAATAGTTTGTACAAAGTAGGGATGTAAAAAACTATGCATTTTCATGACCGACCACCGAGCCTCATTAACCGGTTGAAACCGGTTAACCGCGTAGTTTAAAATATTCCACGTTCTTTGAAATAGCAGCCATTTCGAGCCGCGTACTTTTCATAAGTTTATCTATGCGTTCTACTAGATCAGAGCTGAGACAGCGGCGCCAAAACCCGCAACAGCTTCGGAACCTTTGCGCACAGAGAACTGCTTTTTTAATCTTCCCATACTGTGCTGCAGGTTAAAGCATTTTTAAGCAAAAGACGGCTTGTTCACATGGTCAGAGCAGCGAGTGACGCGCCGCGTCTCGCAGGTCTCCGCTAAAGTTTAAAAGTGATGTGTGTGGATCTGATCTAATGACAAGGACCAGCAGCACAAACATGTTTCATGTGTTTGGGGCCGCGTATTTGCGAGGATTCTTTGGGCTGCGAGACACAGAGGTGCGCGACAGACCGGTATGTGTGTGTGTACAATACATGTATGTATGTGTGTGTAAATATAAGCTCCAATGTAGTTCTGACCTGCACTAGTGTGGAACTTTGGCGGTAACAGAGGGGAGAGATGATGCGTGTGGATGTTACGTATGGAGAGGGGGAAAGTGTTTGTGTGTGTGTGTGTGTGTGCGCGCACGTGCGTGTGTGCGCGTGCGTGTGCGTGGCTGCGTGCATATGTGGAGCGTGCGCCATGAAAGTCGCCCGTAGTCTACTAATGCATTGGCGCACACAGCTAGATACGGACCCGCTCGTCACATCGTACAAATAGGGCTTATTAATAGCCTTATTAAGAGACCTCCCCTCTCCGCTTTTTCTTATTTTTAACCGACAGCTTTGACCGGTTAACGCTGTGACGGTCAACCACCGGTTAAACGGTCACCGATTTACATCCCTAGTATAAAGTTCTGTCGGGGATAAATGTAAAACTATTGCATCCACCGATTCTGCTTAACCCGGCTGGATGATGAAATAAAGCCAACGAGCCCAGTTTATTGACACTCACTGGAATACGTCCGGTCCAAAGACGGCGGCCAGAGCACCCACGCTCCAGCGCTCCGGCTGCAGAGACGCCACGCTGGTCAGGAAGCGGCAGAGGAAGCGGAGGAGGCCGAAGTTCACTGGAGGAAGCGTCTGGAGGAGAGACTTCACCTGTCTGCACTGCTCCTCCTCCTCACCTCGCTCTCCTGACAACAACAACAACAATTAGAATGTCCGAGTCCTGGGTCTACAGCCTCAGTCCTGGGTCCACAGCCTAGTCTCTCTCTCCATCTCTGGTCTCTCTCTATCTCCGGTCTCTCTCCATCTCCGGTCTCTCTCCATCTCGGTCTCTCTCCATCTCCGGTCTCTCTCCATCTCCGGTCTCTCTCCATCTCCGGTCTCTCTCCATCTCCGGTCTCTCTCCATCTCCGGTCTCTCTCCATCTCCGGTCTCTCTCCATCTCCGGTCTCTCTCCATCTCCGGTCTCTCTCCATCTCCGGTCTCTCTCCATCTCCGGTCTCTCTCCATCTCCGGTCTCTCTCCATCTCCGGTCTCTCTCCATCTCCGGTCTCTCTCCATCTCCGGTCTCTCTCCATCTCCGGTCTCTCTCCATCTCCGGTCTCTCTCCATCTCCGGTCTCTCCATCTCCATCTCCATCGGTCTCTCTCCATCTCCGGTCTCTCTCCATCTCCGGTCTCTCTCCATCTCCGGTCTCTCTCCATCTCCGGTCTCTCTCCATCTCCGGTCTCTCTCCATCTCCGGTCTCTCTCCATCTCTCCGGTCTCTCTCCATCTCCGGTCTCTCTCCATCTCCGGTCTCTCTCTATCTCCGGTCTCTCTCTATCTCCGGTCTCTATGTGTAAATTATCCTCTCTATAGATTATTTATGATATTCTTCAGGGTCATCCCTGGAGTTCTGCTTTTGTCAAACGTAAACAATCTTCTCTTAAGTCCCAGTGAACCCCAGTGAATCCCAGTGAATCCCAGTGAGTCCCAGTGAGTCCCAGGCCTGGTCCGCACCTCGCTGCAGCTCCAGGATGAGTGTCTGGATGGTCGTGGGGATGACCGGCTCGGGAAGCTCCTGCAGGAACAGCCGGAGCAGAGACACAGCGGAGGAGAGGTCTGCCTCCCGCTGCAGCACCACCTCCTCCCCGCTGTCGAACTTCTGCCTCAGCCACTCCACCCGCTCTGCGTTACCGTTCACCAGGAACACGCCCTCCATGTCCACGTCGCCTGAGGAGACACCAACACATCAGCCAAGGGGGTGAGGGGAAGAGATGGGAGGCCTGTCTCTGGCCTGTCTCTGGCCTGTCTCTCTCGCTCGCTCTCTGGCCTCTCTCTCGCTCTCTGGCCTCTCTCTCTCGCTCTCTGGCCTCTCTCTCTCGCTCTCTGGCCTCTCTCTCTCGCTCTCTGGCCTCTCTCTCGCTCTCTGGCCTCTCTCTCTCGCTCTCTGGCCTCTCTCTCTCGCTCTCTGGCCTCTCTCTCTCGCTCTCTGGCCTCTCGCTCTCTGGCCTCTCTCTCTCGCTCTCTGGCCTCTCTCTCTCGCTCTCTGGCCTCTCTCTCTCGCTCTCTGGCCTCTCTCTCTCGCTCTCGGCCTCTCTCTCTCGCTCTCTGGCCTCTCTCTCTCGCTCTCTGGCCTCTCTCTCTCGCTCTCTGGCCTCTCTCTCTCGCTCTCTGGCCTCTCTCTCTCGCTCTCTGGCCTCTCTCTCTCGCTCTCTGGCCTCTCTCTCTCGCTCTCTGGCCTCTCTCTCTCGCTCTCTGGCCTCTCTCTCGCTCTCTGGCCTCTCTCTCTCGCTCTCTGGCCTCTCTCTCTCGCTCTCTGGCCTCTCTCTCTCGCTCTCTGGCCTCTCTCTCTCGCTCTCTGGCCCCTCTCTCTCGCTCTCTGGCCCCTCTCTCTCGCTCTCTGGCCCCTCTCTCTCGCTCTCTGGCCCCTCTCTCTCGCTCTCTGGCCCTCTCTCCCTCTCTCGCTCTCTGGCCCCTCTCTCTCGCTCTCTGGCCCCTCTCTCTCGCTCTCTGGCCCCCTCTCTCTCGCTCTCTGGCCCCTCTCTCTCGCTCTCTGGCCCCTCTCTCTCGCTCTCTGGCCCCTCTCTCTCGCTCTCTGGCCCCTCTCTCTCGCTCTCTGGCCCCTCTCTCTCGCTCTCTGGCCCCTCTCTCTCGCTCTCTCTGGCCCCTCTCTCTCGCTCTCTGGCCCCTCTCTCTCGCTCTCTGGCCCCTCTCTCTCGCTCTCTGGCCCCTCTCTCTCGCTCTCTGGCCCCTCTCTCTCGCTCTCTGGCCCCTCTCTCTCGCTCTCTGGCCCCTCTCTCTCGCTCTCTGGCCCCTCTCTCTCGCTCTCTGGCCCCTCTCTCTCGCTCTCTGGCCCCTCTCTCTCGCTCTCTGGCCCCTCTCTCTCGCTCTCTGGCCCCTCTCTCTCGCTCTCTGGCCCCTCTCTCTCGCTCTCTGGCCCCTCTCTCTCGCTCTCTGGCCCCTCTCTCTCGCTCTCTGGGCCCCTCTCTCTCGCTCTCTGGCCCCTCTCTCTCGCTCTCTGGCCCCTCTCTCTCGCTCTCTGGCCCCTCTCTCTCGCTCTCTGGCCTCTCTCTCTCGCTCTCTGGCCTCTCTCTCTCGCTCTCTGGCCTGTCTCTCTCTCGCTCTCTGGCCTCTCTTTCTCGCTCTCTGGCCTCTCTCTCTCGCTCTCTGGCCTGTCTCTCTCTCGCTCTCTGGCCTCTCTCTCTCGCTCTCTGGCCTCTCTCTCTCGCTCTCTGGCCTCTCTCTCTCGCTCTCTGGCCTCTCTCGCTCTCTGGCCTCTCTCTCTCGCTCTCTGGCCTCTCTCGCTCTCTGGCCTCTCTCGCTCTCTGGCCTCTCTCTCTCGCTCTCTGGCCTCTCTCTCTCGCTCTCTGGCCTCTCTCTCTCGCTCTCTGGCCTCTCTCTCTCGCTCTCTGGCCTCTCTCTCTCGCTCTCTGGCCTCTCTCTCTTGCCTGTCTCTCTCTGGCCTCTCTCTACAGACAGAACTGTGTAGTTCCATAACCTCTTCCTCTGACATTCCTCATATGTTGTTTACACCGTGACTTCTTATGTAACGCTTTATTCATTGATTCTCAGGAGATTTGGGACCGTCTCTGCCTCAATGGTTCCAGTCCCATCTGCACGAGCCCCAAGAGAGTCTACAACTGAAGGACACAGAGACACACGTGCACTAAAGTCTAACTCAGGATGTGCTCCAAACACATTTCCCCCGTTGATAATAGACGGATACTACGGTCTTTGACGACTACATGCCGTCAGGGTCTCTCGCGCTGGTGATTAAAGACATGGGTTTTAAGGCTGTCAATAAAGAAAGTTTGGAGAGTATACGTTGTGCTTATGTTATTGAACTAGAACTAGAGTAAAGCTAAAGCTGGTATTGTAAAACTGAAGACTGATTTAAGGATTTTATTGTGAAGGCCGTAAATTTATGTTGGGCAGATGACGGAAGCACCTGAAGAGAGGTCTCTCTCCCTCTCTCTCTGGCCTCTCCCTCTCTCTGGCCTCTCCCCCTCTGGCCTCTCCCCCTCTGGCCTCTCCCCCTCTGGCCTCTCCCCCTCTGGCCTCTCCCCCTCTGGCCTCTCCCCCTCTGGCCTCTCCCCCTCTGGCCTCTCCCCCTCTGGCCTCTCCCCCTCTGGCCTCTCCCCCTCTGGCCTCTCCCCCTCTGGCCTCTCCCCCTCTGGCCTCTCCCCCTCTGGCCTCTCCCTCTCTGGCCTCTCCCTCTCTGGCCTCTCCCTCTCTGGCCTCTCCCTCTCTGGCCTCTCCCTCTCTGGCCTCTCCCTCTCTGGCCTCTCCCTCTCTGGCCTCTCCCTCTCTGGCCTCTCCCTCTCTGGCCTCTCCCTCTCTGGCCTCTCCCTCTCTGGCCTCTCCCTCTCTGGCCTCTCCCTCTCTGGCCTCTCCCTCTCTGGCCTCTCCCTCTCTGGCCTCTCCCTCTCTGGCCTCTCCCTCTCTCTGCCTCTCCCTCTCTGGCCTCTCCCTCTCTGGCCTCTCCCTCTCTGGCCTCTCCCTCTCTGGCCTCTCCCTCTCTGGCCTCTCCCTCTCTGGCCTCTCCCTCTCTGGCCTCTCCCTCTCTGGCCTCTCCCTCTCTGGCCTCTCCCTCTCTGGCCTCTCCCTCTCTGGCCTCCCTCTCTGGCCTCCCTCTCTGGCCTCCCTCTCTGGCCTCTCTATCTGGCCTCTCTATCTGGCCTCTCTATCTGGCCTCTCTCTCTCTCTCTCTGGCCTCTCTCTCTCTGGCCTCTCTCTCTCTCTCTCTGGCCTCTCTCTCTCTCTCTCTGGCCTCTCTCTCTCTCTGGCCTCTCTCTCTCTCTCTGGCCTCTCTCTCTCTCTCTCTCTGGCCTCTCTCTCTCTCTCTGGCCTCTCTCTCCATCTGGCCTCTCTATCTGGCCTCTCTCTCGCCATCTGGCCTCTCTCTCTCTCTCCATCTGGCCTCTCTCTATCTTGCCTCTCTCTCTCCATCTGGTCTCTCTCTCTCCATCTGGCCTCTCTCTCTCTCCATCTGGCCTCTCTCTCTCTCCATCTGGCCTCTCTCTCTCTCTCCATCTGGCCTCTCTCTCTCTCTCCATCTGGCCTCTCTCTCTCTCTCCATCTGGCCTCTCTCTCTCTCTCTATCTTGCCTCTCTCTCTGGCCTCTCTCTCTCTGGCCTCTCTCTCTCTGGCCTCTCTCTCTCTGGCCTCTCTCTCTCTGGCCTCTCTCTCTCTCTGGCCTCTCTCTCTCTCTGGCCTCTCTCTCTCTCTGGCCTCTCTCTCTCTCTGGCCTCTCTCTCTCTCTGGCCTCTCTCTCTCTCTGGCCTCTCTCTCTCTCTGGCCTCTCTCTCTCTCTGGCCTCTCTCTCTCTGGCCTCTCTCTCTGGCCTCTCACCGTGCTCCTCGATGAACTCCACGATGTGTTTGACCAGCGCTGGGACCTCGTGTCCGCCGACCGTGAGAGCGTGCTCCACTTGCTCCAGCGGGACGCCGAAGACCCGCGCGCTGCCCGCCGAGCTCCCGCCTCCGTCGCCTGGCAACGGAGACACGCTCTTCCTCATGGCGCGCTCCTCCTCCTCACCACAACCCCGAGGCCTGACGTCTGCCAAGAGAAGGAGGAAAGAGTAAAGTAGAATAGAGTCTTTCCCCTCTCTCCGGTCTCTCCCCTCAGTCCGGTCTCTCCCCTCAGTCCGGTCTCTCCCCTCAGTAAGTAAGTAATCTTTATTTATATACCGCCTTTCACAGACCAGAGTCACAAAGCGGTTTACAATTGTAAGTCCGGTCTCTCCCCTCAGTCCGGTCTCTCCCCTCAGTCCGGTCTCTCCCCTCAGTCCGGTCTCTCCCCTCAGTCCGGTCTCTCCCCTCAGTCCGGTCTCTCCCCTCAAGGTATAGTTAGTTATCATGTGACACATTCAGAGTTGACATTTCCCCGTCCATTCGGGAGCTACTAGAATGTGTGTCCAGCCTCTCTCCCTCCCCAGGACCATAGCCCCCGGAGCTCACCGTGTAGCAGTTTAAGTGTGTCCTATCCGCTCCTCCCCACACCGGTGAAAGGGTAAAACATCTAGGGCTGCTTCAGGTTGTGGCAGAAGATGAGCCGGTAGTTCCTCATTGACGGTCCGCTAATCCTCTAGCAGGATTCTTTTATCTGCAGAGACAGAAACAACAGACACAGCAGAGTTAGAAGTGTTTTCAGAGCGATGTGGGTGCAGAGGCTGGAAGCAGCTTTGTCATGTGTGAAAGAACTCACCAAAATACGCCTCAAATAAGAGAGACAAACAAATAAAACCTCAGCTGTGATTTTTTTAATTTGTTGAAAGTTGGTAATTTCCCCAAAGCGCCTCGGACCTCAACCCAAGAAAAAGTAGGAGGCTGTTGAGCTGGCTCTGGCCTCTCTCCCTCTCCATCTCTAGCCTCCCTCCCTCTCTCTGGTCTCTCTGTCATAGATTGACCGGACGTGTCTGCACTTGCCCCTGGATCCTGTGTGTGTGTTTGAACAGTAGAACCAGGTCTGTGCAGAAGGGTCACTCACCACAAAGAGATCTGACAACAACAAACATATGAGTGTTTGTAAAGGTGCGTTCACACCGGAGCAACAGGGAAGACCGGGTTCATAACGGCTCCATTCCCACCAGACAACCTTACCCTAACCCCCATCTGGTGGTATTGTAGTACCCTGGCCTTGGTCGAGCTGGTGCTAAAGCTCCGTTTTCTGCCAGCCCTACTCAGAACTCTCCATTTACAGCAGTCTGTGGTTGAGACTCGAGGACAGAGGAAATCATGTCTTCTTGATTACTTAATAGTAGTTAATATCCGTACTCTATTCTTTTCACTTGGTTCATTGTATTTTCTAAATCTGTGACTAAACGATTAGGATCTTGCTACCGTCCTCCGCTCTACATGACTTTATGGCCTTCACAATCACATCTGTAAATCAGTCGACAGTAGCCGGTTATCTTTACCTTTAGTCCACTTCTGGTTCAACAACACGAGCAGAACATGCAATAGACATGTTTGGATATCTACATGACCTTATTTGGTAACCTTTACTTTATCATTAGTCCCTATCCTTTGTTTATTTACAGCCTTTAAAGAGAAAGAGAATGAGAGCGAGAGAGAGACGTGTTATTGTTTAACTGGCTTTCATTCAGCCGCTGTAGCCATGCGTGACCCGGGGCAGACTTGAGGAATGAAACTAACCTGTTGGACCAGTGCGAGTCAAGAGCCCGACTGTGTGAGGGCGACGTAAACGGCACACAACGGGAAACACCATTATCAAAAGAGCAGCTCATTCAGTTCAATGGGCTCTCAGTCAGTGGGGCGGCTGTAAAGTGCTAAACTGTGGTTGTGTCCTTAGGCAAGACACTTCCCCCACATTAGAATGAGTCTGGTGTGTGTGTGGTTGGTGGTGGTGGGAGGGGCTGTTGGCACAGACTGGTGGCCTCGCTTCTGTCAGTGTGCCCCAGGGCAGTTGTGGTTGGAGTGAAAGATAATGACATGAGAAGCGAGAACGGAGAGCGAGACCAAAGAGAGAGACCAAATAGAGAGACCAAGGAGAGAGACCAGAGAGCGAGACCAGAGAGCGAGACCAGAGAGCGAGACCAGAGAGCGAGACCAGAGAGCGAGACCAGAGAGCGAGACCAGAGAGCGAGACCAGAGAGCGAGACCAGAGAGCGAGACCAGAGAGCGAGACCAGAGAGCGAGACCAGAGAGCGAGACCAGAGAGCGAGACCAGAGGGATAGAAGGACCAGTGAGCGTCCAGAAAGAGACCAGAGAGAGAAACCAAAGAGAAACCAGACTGAATATTGTTACTGGGATAATGGAAGTGCTTTAAACGTCACCCATCTGTGCCGCACTGTACACATTCAGCCTTTGTCAGTTTTTTCCCCCTAACCCTCCTCCTCCAGTTCTAATCACCAACAAACTTTATTTCCCATTGTGTGACGACTTTGACTTTATCGACTTTGTATTGATCTGTTTGAGTGTCCAGAAAAGCACTCGTTATTATTACTGTTTGTTATTATTGGTAAAAATCCAGGTTTATACTGGAGAGAAATGCTGTGACGCCAGACTTTGCCCTTGAAAGCCTGTGGCCTAGTTTGCGGCTGCTGCGCCGTCAGACTGAAATTAATAATCCGGTCTGTGGGGACTGGCCTTGTTATCTCCGCCGCGCTGTAGGAAGCTCCCACGAATTATTTACACAAAGAAAGGGAAGTACACCCAAAATAGACAAGCAGCGAGACAACTACAGTCCTGGTCGACGAGGGGAGATTGGTCCTGTGTGAAGAGGTCTGTGAAACCAGTGGTAACCCGCTAGCTCAATGAAGGGTTAGCAGTAGGGATGTGCTCATGGACGAAGATTTGCTGCAACTCTACCTCCCATTGACTTTGAAAAGAAAACAAGTTTTGCAGCACGATGCAGCAAAACAATCCTGAGACTTGCAACATATTAATAGATCATATCATTTAGAAACTAATGCTTCCATTGACAAAGACCAGAGAGGCACCAGAGGGACCAGAGAGAGACCAGAGAGACCAGAGAGAGAGACCAGAGAGAGACCAGAGAGGGACCAGAGAGGGACTAGAGAGAGACCAGAGAGGGACCAGAGAGAGAGACCAGAGAGAGAGACCAGAGAGGGACCAGAGAGGGAAACCAGAGAGAAACCAGAGAGAGACCAGAGAGACCAGAGAGGGAAATCAGAGAGAAACCAGACTGAATATTGTTACTTGGATAATGGCAGTACTTTAAATATCACCCATTCATGCCGCGCTGTAGCCATACAGCCATAAAGCTCTGTCCCTAACCTTCCTCCTCCAGTTTTTGTACCGTCTCCATTCTGACAAATTCACACAGTAAATTCCGGTTGCTCTCTGCGCCGCGGTCGCTGCAGACGACTTTGACTTTATCGACTTTGTATCAATCTGTGCGACCTCCGCGTGATCCTCAGACTGCGTTTAAGACTCTTCACTCCAAAAGCACAGAGCAAACATTACATAAGCTTTTGATTCAATGGGCCATAACTGAGAATGTCCTGAGTCAGAGAGGTTTGGCATGAAACAAAAGCATGAAAGGGCAAGTTCAGGCAGGTTTATTAGTATAGCACAGTTCAAACACAAGGAAACTAAATGTGCATAGTAAATAAATCATAAATAATCACAGTGCATTAAAAAGAGGAAGAGTTGTCTGCAGCGAAACTGAACTGGTTTTAACCTGGACTTGAACATTGCATTCCAGATACATGGTGTGCAGTGACATCTGGTCTGTGTTGTCAAATAATACAGCAACAATGACAAAGATAATTGTTGTGACCAAAGTAAAGCACTGTTGAATATCTGCCATTTGGATCAATTCTGGAGAGAAACTTGACATTCTTAAAGTCAGTCTGAGTCATGCAACAAATATTAATAGATCTCATAACTGCTGTCGTTATGTCCTTGGGCAAGACACATAACCCACTTTGCCTATAAGGAGCGCGGATGTGATGTTCGCTGCTTGCCTTGATGTGTATGTATGTATGTGTATGTATATGTATTTGTATGTGCATGTATGTGTATGTGTATGTGTATGTGCATGTGCATGTATGTGTATGCATCAAACTGAAATATCCCCATTGTGGGACGAATGAATCTTCTTCTGCCGACAACTTGTTCCATTGACAAAGAGCATTGAGAGATCAGTGAGAGAAAGAGAAAGAGAATGAAACCAGAGAAAGAGACACCAGCGAGACCCGATAGAGATAGACCAGAGAGACCAGAATGAAACAAAGGAGAAGAGAGAAAGGACAGAAAAAAAGAGAAAAGAAAAAAATAGGAGAGGAAGAAAGAAAGAAAGAGAAATAGCAAGACCAGGGAGAGACCAGAGAGAGAGACCAACTAGGGCAACCAGAGACCAATCAGAGATAGAGACCATAGAGAGACCAAAGAGAGACCAGAGAAAGACCAGAAAGAGACCAGAGAGGATGTTGAAGAAGATGACATAGTCTGGGATCGCGTCTTTCATTCAGACAGAAGACATGTTTTATTGTCGATGGTAGAGACAGCACGAACAACACGAACAACAGAATGCAAGTGTATTATACAGAGCGGAGGCATGGAGACCTCCAATCAGCAGCTTCCACGGTGCCATGTAGCTTGGCCTTCAGATAGACAAAACAAGGGAAAAGTACTGGCTTCTGCACATTGATAGAATGATGAGTTTAACTTTAACAAAAGTTGCTTAAAAGTGTTATGAAATGTAATAATGTCGAACATTGGCCATGTCTGAGATATTTCTCCTTCTGACCATTTAACCCAATAACCATCCGTCAGTACAACTAGTCACTACTTCCTGCAGCTGGTCACGTCTCTAAATCCTTTCGGGATGTGGCACGAGATATAAACGCCTATTAAAACAGATTACAGGGTCAAACGTGAGGGTGGATTTGTGGCAGTAAACTGGTTCACTTGGCTCTGGCCCCGCGGCTGCTGACCGGCCAGCTCTGATCCCACACGGCAGGCGGCTGCGGCACTGTTTGGGCTGAGGAGAGAAACCCGGTTAGTTTTACACTGAGCTCCCATCTCACACCGCGGGAGGCGGGAGAGCGAGAGAAGCCTACGTGAGAGCAGACCCAGCACAGGGGCCGAGAGGGTCAGGGGCGAGGCCGGCGGAGGACTGGGGGATGGAGAGACTGGGAGAGAACGAGATTGAGAGAGACTGAGAGAGACAGAGACAGAGACAGAGACTGAGACTGAGAGAAACAGAGAGAGTGAAAGACAGAGACAGAGAGACTGAGAGAGACAGAGACAGAGAGAGAGAGACAGAGAGAGAGACAGAGACAGAGACAGAGAGAGAGAGAGAGAGAGACAGAGAGAGAGACAGAGACAGAGAGAGAGAGAGAGAGAGAGAGAGACAGAGAGACAGAGAGAACGAGATTGAGAGAGATACAGAGACAGAGACTGAGAGAAACAGAGAGAGTGAAAGACAGAGACAGAGAGACTGAGAGAGACAGAGACTGAGAGAGAGAGACAGAGACAGAGAGAGAGAGACAGAGAGAGATGGGGGGGAAAGTGTCCTGTCCCGTCCTGTGACCCCCCCGCTCGACGCTACCCTACTCTTAAAAGTACGAAAAACAATGGACTTAAAAACTTCCAAAGATCTTTTTTTGCCGCTTTTTGATGATTAAAAGTGGAAGAAAATACCTTAAATTGGGATCTAAAAGAATGAAATGACCCAGGGCTGGTAAAGTTAGAAAAAGTTAGTGTTTTTGGTCTACTTTTAATCACTGTAGAGGGACACAAGGATTTTAACAACTTTCAAAAGGAATGTTTCTCTGCCTTTGTTTTCAGAACGACAATAAGGTGAGATCTCACGGAGATTGCGTTGCACCGTTTTAAAATCCACTAAAATGTCTGGTGGTCGTAGAGTTGGCTTCTGTTTTTGTTTTGTTTTTATCACTGCGTCTGTGGGAGCGGATCCTCCTCAAGGTCTCATTTTTCTGTTTAGAGGGACAGTGATGATCCAGGACATTAACATTTCTGGACAGTGGTCATCCCGCGCTCTATGGACCCGTGTTTGAACAGTTTGATTCTCTGATCTGTTGTTGGTAAATTCACAACTTTGTAAAGTCCTTCATGAGACGACTGCTGCTGTGGTTTAGGGCTGTACACTGTGAGCTTCTTCTTCATCGTAAAATACTTCAGTTTGATACACGCACATTAAGGCAGGCAGCGTACAATACTTCCACGCTCCTTATCGGCAATGTGGGTAAAGTGCCTTGCCCAAGGACACAACGACAGCAGTGGGAGTCGGTGGAGAAGGTCTCGCGGTGGCCTCAATCAACCACCGAAGGCCAATGCTCTACCACTGTCGCCCCAACTTAACTCATTGACCGCCAGCTGTTTTTGATATCACTGATTCTTAAGACCCACAGAATATTATGTGACTGTGAAAAACTGGAAAATACTTTTGTTTTGATCTATTTTTGTTGTCCTGTAATCCCCAGTCGAATAGACAGAAATCACCGGTCTCAGACAAATATGTCAAAGGCAGCCAATGTGTACTTAAGTAAATGCTTTTGCTTGTGGTGTAGGGCAACCTTGAGTATCTAGAAAGGCAGCAAATAAATAAAATCTATTATTATTAAACAAATAAATAGAACAAACACAATGTATCTTGTGGCCGTGTTTATGTGTGTCTCGAACGAACAGCAGTAGATGTTTCGCAGCCTCAGCACCAGACACACCGACCTTTACTCACAGAATCAAGCAGCTCCATTACACAGTAACCAGGGACTCGCAAAAACCTTTCTGAAGTCGCTCACCGTCTGCACAAACGGCACTGATAACACCGCTTTTCACCTTCAGCATATTTGGACCAGTTCACTGCCCGGAGATAACATTCGGACAAGTGCAAGCGTTCAGCAACACATTTTGATAAGTTCTGGTGCAACAATTCAACAGGTAGAACAAAAGAAGGTGAAGCAGGAGTCTTCATGAACGAGGGCTGCAAGTCTGTAACCACAACTTATGAAAGGATAGAGACAGAGAGAGACAGGGAGAAAGAGAGAGACCGAGAGTGACACTGAGAGAGACAGAGAGAGACCGAGAGAGACACTGAGAGACAGAGAGAGACCGAGAGTGACACAGAGAGACAGAGAGAGAGACAGAGAGAGACCGAGAGAGACCGAGAGAGACACTGAGAGACAGAGAGAGACCGAGAGAGACACTGAGAGACAGAGAGAGACCGAGAGTGACACTGAGAGAGACAGAGAGAGACAGAGAGAGACACTGAGAGACCGAGAGAGACACTGAGAGACAGAGAGAGACCGAGAGTGACACTGAGAGAGACAGAGAGAGACCGAGAGAGACACTGAGAGACAGAGAGAGACCGAGAGAGACATTGAGAGACAGAGAGAGACCGAGAGTGACACTGAGAGACAGAGAGAGACCGAGAGTGACACTGAGAGAGACAGAGAGAGACCGAGAGAGACCGAGAGAGACAGAGAGAGACAGAGAGAGACAGAGAGAGACCGAGAGTGACACTGAGAGAGACAGAGAGAGACCGAGAGAGACACTGAGAGACAGAGAGAGACCGAGAGACACTGAGAGAAAGAGAGAGACCGAGAGTGACACTGAGAGAGACAGAGAGAGACCGAGAGAGACACTGAGAGACAGAGAGAGACCGAGAGTGACACTGAGAGAGACCGAGAGAGACAGAGAGAGACCGAGAGTGACACTGAGAGAGACAGAGAGAGACAGAGAGAGACACTGAGAGACAGAGAGAGACCGAGAGTGACACTGAGAGAGACAGAGAGAGACCGAGAGAGACACTGAGAGAGACCGAGAGAGACCGAGAGAGACCGAGAGAGACACTGAGAGAGACAGAGAGAGACCGAGAGAGACACTGAGAGAGACACTGAGAGACAGAGAGAGACCGAGAGTGACACTGAGAGAGACAGAGAGAGACCGAGAGAGACACTGAGAGAGACAGAGAGAGACCGAGAGAGACACTGAGAGACAGAGAGAGACCGAGAGTGACACTGAGAGAGACAGAGAGAGACCGAGAGAGACACTGAGAGACCGAGAGTGACACTGAGAGAGACCGAGAGAGACATTGAGAGACAGAGAGAGACCGAGAGTGACACTGAGAGAGACATTGAGAGACAGAGAGAGACCGAGAGTGACACTGAGAGAGACGGCGAGAGGTGTAGAGAGACAGAGTAAGAGACCGAGAAAGAGACAGACAGACTGAGACCAAGAGAGACAGAGAAAGACAGAGAGACAAGGAGAGACCGAGAGCAACAGCAAGCGACAGAGAGCAAGAGAGCGATAACCATAACCTGTATTCTAAATGTGTGTATGTTACGTAACACGTTTAGAATATAGGTTATGTATACATTATTAATACTAAGGCACTCCAGCTTTAAGCCCAGTTCTTCCAGTTCTTTCTGTCAAACTAACTTTCTCCCTGCTATGTCCAGGAACATCCATCAAATCTTAAAATCAGTCGACTAATTAGAAACTGATCATTAGTCCGGGTCTCCTGCTGGGACTCTGAGGAGCACAGGGACTGGCCTGCTGCTGGTCCCAGAGTCACGGCTATACTTTAAGATTCATGCAGCTAAAATTCAGCACTTTGAGTTGCCTTGTGTATGAACTGTGCTACACAAATAAACTTGCCTTGCCATCAGGTGTCTTCGTACTGAGATAAATCCCTAAGAAATCCATTAGAAGCAATCCAAAAACACATCATTCCCTGCACACCCTTCAATATTTGACCCATTTCAGCCTCAAGCTCTTATCAAACTCACTGAAGGACATGCAAATAGTTGTTTTTTAACTCGCTACAAAAGTCACGTGTGTGTGTCCTGCCAGTGTTCTTTATCCAAGGCCGTTTATACCCTTAACAATACGAAGGCTGTGTCTATAAGAACAGCCTACAATACACCAGAACATTCCGAGACACTGGCGAAAGTGTGTGTGTGTGTGTGTGTGTGTGTGTGTGTGTGTGTGTGTGTGTGTGTGTGTGTGTGTGTGTGTGTGTGTGTGTGTGTGTGTGTGTGTGTGTGTGTGTGTGTGTGTGTGTGTGTGTGTGTGTGTGTGTGTGTGTGTGTGTGTGTGTGTGTGTGTGTGTGTGTGTGTGTGTGTGTGTGTGTGTGTGTGTGTGTGTGTGTGTGTGGTGTGTGTGTGTGTGTGTGTGTGTGTGTGTGTGTGTGTGCGTGCGTGTAAAGAAAACGAAACTGCTGGGACAATCCACAAAACACAAACAATGGCTTTACTGTTCTTTAGGAGAGGGTTAAACAAATATTTATGGGCGAAAACAAGAGAAACCAGACGAGAACTGGCAACCCGTCAAATCCAGGTGCCTTCTCGAGTGCACCTCAAAATGACAACTAGAGAGAGAAGACACGTAAAAGGCAGTGACAATTACAGATTAAAAAAAATCACAACGAATATTAAAACCACAAAATGTACTAATACGCCTTGGAATAACCATGTATTATAATGTCATGTGTGAATGTATTTGAATAGCTGCCAAAACTGCGATGCTAGCAGCTATCCAATGTATTTACACGCATAGCAATTAAACTAACGCTAGTATTGCAATGCTAGCTGGCTTTTCCGGTGTGAATGTGCTCATACGTCATTTATAAACGCAATTTGAGGTTTGTGCGTTGGGTTAAAAGTGGTAAATCGGAGATGCTAATGTTGGGGAAGTGTTAGCATAGCAGGCTAATCTTACCAGGTCAAAACAAGCCGCGACGACGCAGAGCGAGATGCATCAATTTGTAGCTTCGTCTTCGGGTGATTTTTCTCAAGGTGTTTTTTTTCACGTCCTGGATGCTTGTCGACGTCCAGGGAAGGTTGGTTCAAAGTGTTAAAGGTTTAGCGTGGATAGCATGTCAGAAGCGCGGAGGGTTGTGGAGGAGAGAGGCTGGATGTGTGTGTCTCGGCTCGTAGGTCGCTGCTTGAGTGAACCAGGCTGAGCTGTCTGCTGCTGCTGCTGCTGCTGCTGCTGGGATGGTGCTGTGTGCGCTAGAGAGGCTGTTAGCATGTAGCTGTAGTGTGGGTGGCGGCCA